TATATATATGAGCATTATGTGCACGCCTAGTGACTGAGGAGGCCAGAAGAGGGGTTTCGATCCCCCTGAAACAGGAGTTAGATGATTATGAGCCACCATTTAGGTGCTGGGATGGAACCAGGGTCCTCTGCAAGAGCAATAAGTGCTCTTAACCATTGAGCTGCCTCTCCAAGGCCCCCTGCCCTTTTATTTTATTTTACTTTTTAGCACGAGTATTTTAAAATTTCTTGATAATCCTTGAGCATGGACTTTTTTTCTTAGATGGAAATGCTCTTAAGTCTTTATTTGAATTATGATCATACAGCCAAGGTCCAAACTGGCTCAGCTGATAACTGGGTCCTTCATGAGAGGTTCAGTGAATGACAGACATCTTACTATCAAGAATAGCGGACTGGAGCTGTAGAGAGCGCTCAGCCATTAAGATCAATGGCTGCTCTTCCAGACGACCCGTGTTTAATTCCAGGCACCTATGTGTCAGCTCGCAATCTGTAACTCCAGCCTAGGGGAGACAACACTCTTTCTGCGGGGACTGAATGCATGTGGGGCTCAGACATGCATGCATGCAAGGCAAAACATGGACACATAATATAAAATTAAATAAATCTTAAAAAAAATAATACCTGCTGATTACAAAGGTATTAGGATTCCTAGTGGGGGAATCTTGCGGATATTTCTAGTGGGGCGGAGCTTTCTTTCTATGTAGCCCTGGCTGGCCTAGTACTCACTATGTAGCCCAAGACAGCATTGACTTCACAGGAGTCCTCTGCCTCAGCCACCCATGTTTTGGGATTATAGGTATGTGCCACCATGCCTGGTGGGAAAAAAAATGTTATTTTATAAAGCATTTTTTTTTAAATCTCCTGTGCCTAAGACTGTGGTGACAAAGAGGGGGCTTTGAAAAGTTCATACGGTGACGGGTGACAGGAACAACTTACTGAGGAGCGGCCTGTGACCGTGGGCCGCTTCAGGGCTCTCGTGTCGCCCAGCAGCCTCCAGGCCCCCTGTTCCAGGACTCGGTGTGGACACCTGGAAAGACAGGACAGGAGCGGTCAGCAAGCCTCGAGCACAGCGAGGACCTCTGGGTGGCTTTGGAGTGGGTCGGCACCAGAACCTCCTGCAGCGGTTCACGAGTACCCACCCCACGCTGTACGTCCTGCCCTGCGCATGCCGCATCTTCCATAGCGGAAGCTTAAAGAGCCTATCCCTACCGTCAGCCGCTCCCTGTCGCCACGAGATTCCAAAATAAGGCATCTACGGCAAAGGTGAGGTCCTTTTATGGGACACACATATGTGCATGTGTGTATGTGTGCATGCGTGTACACGTACATGTTTGCACAGCTATGCACATGCGGAGGCCGGAAGATTTTATTACAATGATTTATATGTCCGTTTCTGTAAGATCACTTTATTTGCCAAATGTGTGAATAAATGAATAACTTAATAGGAAGACCAGCTATATTTTCATACAAGTATCATGTAATGTTTGTACTTTCAGGCCCTTGGTCCCCTGGTCACACATGGCCGTCCTTCTGTATTCTCAGGGCACAGAGCTGACTCATGGAATGGACTTTAATGTATTTCGGACTTCCAGAAAGCACGAGGTTTAGTGTCCCCAGTTACAGGGATCAAACCCCCAGGCCTTTCCATTCGCCAGGCGAGGGCTCTCCACTGAGCTATACATCCATCCCTTCAAGTCTTTTTAATCTTTAAACCTTTTTATTTTGGGACAGGTCTCACTAAGTTGTCTAAGCTGGCTTTGAAGTCTCTCTTCCTTCCAGCTCTCGAGTTGCTGGAAGACAGGTGTGCACAACCAGCCCAGGGGTGTGCAACACGCATTTCCGTTACCTGGAGTATGTTGGTGTTTAAATCTCTTTCAAACTACTTGCATGTAGAGTCTGTGGCGATCATAACAGCTATCACCCATTGAGCGCCTAGGAGGTGTAGCAACCACCGTTTGAAGAGTGTTTGGTTTTGTCTGGTGTTGTGGCGCACGCCTGTAATCCCAGCACTTGGGAGGTGGAGATAGAAAAATCAGGAGTTCAAAGTCAACCTCAGCTATACAGTGAGTTTGGGGTCAGCCTGGGCTACATGGGATGCTGTCTCAAAAAGTGTTTTGGTTTATATTCCATCCCCAAACTTTCATATTTATCTAGGGGGGATGCTATTATCATACCTGCCCCACAAGTGAGGAAACTGAGGCAGAGTTCAAATTCTGAACCCAACCTTCCAAAGACTAGGTATCTGAGTCACAACCCAGAGCCCTTCTGTGTCCTTCTAACCATGCCTCCTGTAACCACCAAACTGTACTGCACCCTCAGGCCACCAAGTCAGCAGAAATTCCATTTATTTTTATGGGGTGGCCTCTTTCTCAAAATGAACACTTACACCACTCACGGGCACACTGGCGTTCCTGCAGTTCACACTGAGGCAAGCTCTAGCTCTTTCTGAAGGATCTGGATCTTCTGGGGATGAGGAGTGTAACCTGAGAAGGGAGACAAGAGAAGTTTATCCCTCTGATGGGGTTTTAGAGGGAGCCTTTCTCCCCTGAATGCTTCACACAAGCGACCGACAGATAAACTACAGCAAGGAACTCCAGACTGATTACCTACGCCTTCATAGGCAGATTTAATGTTGACTCTGGAGTGCTGAAGCCACCCAAGGAAGGAGGAATAGGACACAGGAGGGGCTGGGGCCGTGGGAGAGCAGGTCGGGAATGGGAGGGTTAAATGAAGGACCCTCGGGGAAGCGTGGTGATGGCGCAGCACAGTACTGAGTGATGCTGAGCTGCGCATTTTAAGATTTTGTTTTTATTTAGGTATGTGTATGTGTGTATGCACATGTGTGTGCAAGTGCCTGCAGGGACCGGAAGAGGGTTCAGATTTCCTGGAACTGGAGGTCCAGCTGCTTGTGAGCTGCCTGGTGTGGGTGGGGGAAACTAAATTCGGGTCCTCCAGATGATCACCAACCACCCTACCCACCGAGCTGCGTCTCCGGCCCCTGTGTATGTTAAGATAGCAAACGCTGTTACGCGCATTTTATTCTGCTTAAAAAGCGAAATGCAGGCACGCGAGATGGCCAAGTGGGTGCAGGCTCCGGCCTCAGGCCTGATGACCTGAGCTTGATCCTGGGACCCCAGGAGAACTGACTTCCTCAAGGAGCCCTCTGACCCCGACACAGGCTGTGGCGTGTACTCACCCACAAAGGCACATACACAAAAATAAGTAAACAGATGTCATTTTTTAAAAAGTAAGACACATAAGCAGATCCACTATTCCCTAGGTCCCTGGTTCAGACCTTCAACAGGAGGAAATACAGACCTTGAAATTGAGGCTGAGATGCCAAACAAGCAAGGTGTGGGCTCACATGCACTATCCTTTTTTCCCTATTCCGTATGTATGCATGTATGTATATATGTATATTGTGTGTATGAGTGGTTCCCTTATACAATTTGGCTATTCTAAGACATTGTTTTATTTTATTTATTTTAATTTTAAGGTTATTAATGTTTGCCTGCATATGCACAGCACAGATGTGCCGTGCCCTTGGCAGCCAGAAGAGGGAGCTGGATCTCCTAAACTGGAGTTACAGACCTTTGTGAGCCTTTAAGTGGGTGCTGGGAACGGAACATGGTTTTCCTAAAAGGGCAGTAAGTGCTCTTAACTGCTGAGCCATCTCTCCAGGCACCTACAAAATTATTGAATAGCTCACCTTTATGCTATACATTAAGTTTAACATATAACTATATAAAACTTACATATTTAATATATTTATGGTATAAAATCTTTATGAGTTAAAGTTAGTCTGTTTTATCATACAAAATACACACATTTTCCAGTTTATGTTTTCAACTTTATTGTAATGGCATAGTTTATGCTTCAATTTTGAACTTTTATGCAATTAAATTTACCAATTCCTTCTTCCTGAATTCTGTATTTGGTGTGATATTTAGAGACAATCTGACAAATTAAGATTATAAAAGTCCTCATCTGGGCGGGTCCCAGCTGCTTGTGACTCCAGTTCCCCGGAGGTATAGCACCAATATGCACATACCCACCCACCCTCTGCCCCGCCCTCCCGAATGCTTGCACACGCACACACACACACACACACACACACACACGAACAACTGATCTGTGTGCTGGTTGGTAACTAAGGCAGCCATTTATACGAGACTATTTGCAGTGATAATACTTCACCTCTGTAAACCCAGAACCTCGTTTGCAATGTCTGTCCCCGTGGGTATTCCAGGCACACGGACGCAGGACTGTCTAAACGAGTCTAGGCAACAGCACAGGAGAAAACACAATCAAGGATGTTAAGGAGCGCACAGCCCAAGTCAGTGGCTTTCTTTCTATTGAAATATCTTCCTGGTTTCTCCCGAAAAGAAACAGTTGAGCCACCCCTTAAAGCGCCAGGAAACATCTAACCTTTCATTACACAGTTCCCAACGCTAGAGACATGGTGGGTAGCGGTCACAATGTAGTCACCAAGGGCACAGCCACCACCCACGACCTTTTCCCCTTTGACCTTTACAGCAGAGCCAGGCGATGCCACTTTACAGTTCATAATTCCTTTTGTGCTGTTTTTATTTTTATTTATTTTCTGTGTATGAGTGTTTGCTTGCATGCACGAGGGTGCATATAATGTACACAGTGTCATGGACGCCAGGAGTTACAGGGAGGTGTGAGCCACCAGCGTGAGACCTGAACCCAGGTCCTCTATGACAGCAGCCAGTGCCCTTAACCACCGAACTGTCTCTCCAGTCCCAGGAGTCTGGTTTGTTTGTTTTGACTTTTTGTTCTTTGTCTGTGTAGCCCTGGCTGTCCTGGAACTCACTCTGTAGACCAGGCTGGCCTTGAACTCAGAGACCTGCCTGCCTCTGGCTCCTGGAGTTTTTGTTTGGTTTTGTTGTTCAATCAGGTCTTAAGTACCTGAGGGAGGTAACTCCTAATCTTCCTGACTCTGCCTCCCAAGTGTGGGATTACATGTGTGTACTATTACCATATCCAGATACTTAAATAAACATTTTGCATAAAATACATGAGCACAGCCCTGTGGATAAAAAAAAGAGAGAGAGATGCAAAACACATCCTTCATGAGTGTCTCTCACTGTCTACTGGTGTGTAACGAGCACAGGAGACAGGGAAAAACACATTTGTGTAGTGGTGTGTAACACACACAGTAGACAGCGAGGAACGCATTTGTCTAGTGATGTGTAACCCACAGCTGTCAGGGAAGAATACCGGCTGCAGGGAGACCATGTGAAAATACCAGGTCTGCTCGTGAGGAACTCCGTCAAGCAGGAAACCAGTCACGTGGGCAACTGCTTATGTGTGGTGCCACGCTACACTCTGGTGGAGGTATGTGCATATGTATTTGTGTGTGTTGATTGTGTACATGTGTATAATGTATGTGTGTATGTGTTTGATGTTTATGTGTATGGTGGTGTATATGTGTGTATGTATGTCTACATGTATGTGTATGATGCATGTATGCGGTGGTGGAGTTCAGAGGACAACATTGTGGTGATCGTCCTCTCCTTCCCCTTTGTGTGTGTTTTAGGGGTTGAACTCTGTGCATGACAAGCTGGACTTGCCGAGTCACCTTTGCTGCCTTAGCCTCCTTCTATAACAAATGTCTGTCCACTCAGAATGTCTTCCACCCTCCCCTGGAAAGCTCCTCTCTTAGATAGAAAACCACACCTTCATAAAACGCATGCTGGGTGACACATCTGAGCTAAACCCCGATCTGAAACACTTACCTTCTGAGGACTGACTGCTGCCGTAAAGGAAGGGGGGTGCTCCAGTCTCACTACGTCCCCTGGAAACCAGAAACAACATGGGTGACGTTCTCTGAAGTGAGGGGAACCTATGAATGTGTCTGCACTGGCTCCATGTGTGTGGTCTGCCAGTTCCCACTCACTGATGTGTTATTGTTCATGTTATCAGCTGAGATTGGATCTGTGCCCAATGCCCCACTGGTCGGTCTCATTCTCACAGCAACAGTGATTGGCTCCCAACCTAGCTAAGGTCCACACTGCATTGGGATGGCTGATGGAGAACACAGGCACACTTGTCTCCTAGTGCTGTTTAAACTAAATGTTACAGACAAGCAAATGGAACTGGTATGACATGAAGCAGTTACCTAATTATTCTTTATTAATAAAATCTCAGAAGTGAGATATCAGGGTAAGAACCTGATTGATCAGAGAAACAGTGGAGAAGCAGCCAATGACCTCCTCTCTCTCTCTTCTCTCTCCTCTCTCCTCTCTCCTCTCTCCTCTCTCCTCTCTCTCTCCTCTCTCCTCTCTCTCTCTTCTCTCCTCTCTCCTCTCTCTCTCTTCTCTCCTCTCTCCTCTCTC